AACATTGCCTGTCTTTTTGCAGAATTATGTGTTTAGACCTAGAGCAAGGGCCAACAAATGGTAGAAAAGGATCCCAATCTAGGTCACCAACCGAGCCAGAATATAAAGAGGGCTGGTTGCATGTACAGAAAAGGAACAAGGGTCTGGCTGCCTCCCAGCTCAGTTTCCATTGTTGCTACTTTCCAGGCCTTCCAGAACTTCCCTTGCTTGATGCAAGCATTGTTTGTTATTGCGTGATTTTCACTGCCAGGGGCTGACAAATACTGTTGTGGAGTACAGTGCTAGATAAGAATTCACCATCCCATAACAGGATGCACTGCAAATCAGAATAATCTTACAAATCATTTTAATGCAAACTTGGCATTGATTTTGACCAGTTGCCCGTAATGATTGCTGGTTTCCATCTCTATGTCTTCCTCTTGCTTGGCCATCCACAGACCATTAGAGCAGATATTTAGGGTTAATTTTTCAGGAACTTGTTGTTCTATGTGTAGGAGGATATGCTCCTCCTTTCTTAATTAGTTTTTAAGTGGTTTCTGGCAGCCAGAATACTGTGGGAGAGATGCCATTATACAGGGCACATCAATACCCACTAACCGTTGCCAAAAATGTTTTCAGTGCAACACAAGTTTTAATCTTGTGTTATTCTTCCAAACACAGATGTTCAAGATCCTGTTAGGTGATGCTTAGCCTAATAGGGGTCATGCCCAGTCTATAAGTACTATGGCATTGAGCCCAGAACCAAACGTAATGAGATGTACCCAAGCATCTGTTCCATTAAGGAAGATTCAACACAGTGGGTAATTTAAGATAATCTCTGTTATATAAGAGCCACACCATCTCTATTATTACCTACTATACAGAGAATTTCCATTCAGAGGGTGCACTATTTCGGAAGCATGGTGTGCCATTGTCTAATGTTGCTGGGGATAGTGGAATGGGGGCCACACACACAGACACAATCTTCCTGAATGTACTCACAGACATCTTAGCTTGTTGGTGAAGAGTTCAGGAAGGCACAAGCCAAGTAAAGCTACCTCTGGCAGTGGAAAAGAGCAGCCTCTGACATTTAAACTAAGATGCATCTTGGCCATGGAGAAAACAAAAACAGTAATATCACAACAATGGTGGATAAAGCCAGAGCCAAGTAATTGTGATTTTCCCCACTGAAGCACAATTTCAAAATATCTAACCAAACTGAAAAATCGTCTCACTTTGGTCCAGCAGGACTGTGTGACAATGTTTTTCTCTTGTGTTCTATGACTGTTTTGAAAACTTTGTATCTGTGAATTCTACTATTGTGCACGAGCTTTTAGCAACAATCAGGTAGGCATTGATATGGCCCAATTGTTGGCAACTATGAAGGATTCAACACAAAACATTGGAAGCCACAGATAAGAAGGTCCACCCTCAAAAAAAAAAAAAAAGATTGAAAACATATGGATGTTGGAAGCAGCTATGGATGCTGGATATCACAGCCATGGGGCAAGCATTTCCTTGGGTACCCAGCTTGCCTATCCCTGGCCCAAAAGGATTTTTCCTTCGACAGCACAACTGACCTTTCTGAAAGGTGAGTGAGATCCCTCCAGTATTTGGCAGCCTCACAGGGAGCAGCCAAGAGATGTGCCCTAGGCCACAGATTGTGCCAAGCTGCCTTAGACACAGTTAGCTTTGCATTAAATCTTTCGTATTCAGAATCAACCCAAGTACCCTTTTGGGAGCCACCGGGAGAGTTACTGTATTTTTAAAATAATTGCTTGTATAGTGTGGACTTCCAAAGGTCCAGTATGTGACACTGGAGCTTTTCAAAGGCTTGAGATATGCCCATAGAGACACACTGCAACCCTTGTGGGATTTCTGGCAGGAAGGGCTGAGGCCATCAGAGATTGAGAAGGTCAAGTGTGTCTGTGCATTTGTACATATATGTCTCTGTGTGTTTATCCTTTGTTGCAGTTGAGTCTCCATTGTTTTCCCTTTTCCCCATAGGTAAGCATGGCATTAGGGTTGCATTCAGGACCATCACAGAGGCTTAGTGATCCCAAATTCTGGGAATCAAGCCTATGCATAGATATAGATGTTTTCCAATTCTTCTGCAGCTCTTATCTTGTTCATGCTAGCATGCAGCAGGCTTTGGAGCTGATTAGGCAGATCAATTGATGAATAGGTAGGCAGTTATTATATGAGTCATTATATCTTGAAAGATCCATATGAATGTAACAAAACAGACCGTTTGATCTCACTGTCACAGTACCAGTACCTCTTGGATTTTAATTTTCATTATTCCCAGCTAGCCAGGCTACTGGTTGCACTTGCTGGGAATGAAGGGAATTGCAACCTAATACATCTGGAGAGCACCAGTTTTGGGGAAGACTGATGCACTCCAGCAAGCAGCATCAACGTCCAAGGTCTGAGCCAAGGGTTTTCTCAAAGAAGCCAGGAACTCCATCATGTTAAGCATGTGCTTTAACAATGAGCATCCAGGGGATGTGACTAGATGATCAAATACTGCAAGATTTGCTGTGGTTACAGTACAAGTCGATTCAAAGCATTTCTCCCCCTTGATTACACAATGCAAAGGCCAGTTTGAATTGATCTGACCCTTTTTTGCTTTTTTCCTCTGTCAGTGGGGGGTCTGTACTTTTCCCCCCTTATTTAAATGGGCTTTTTCCCATGTGATCAGTTGATCCATTCTTGTAAAGATGGGGTGGGTGTGTTTGGTGGTGTGTTTGGTGGTGTTTGTGTTGGTTGGTTGGTTGGTTGGTTGGTTGGTTGGTTGGTTGGT